TAGCCCCGCCTTCCACCGCTGCTGACAGTCATCCATGCGCTCATTGAATGGAGACGCGGGATCCTCGCCTGAGGTGAGGCGGTGTGCTGGGGTGAGCTTCCGAAACTTGGGCTTTCTAGGGACAATCAGGGATTGCTTGTAAGCATCACGCAATGAAAAACTTGAAAACCCTTTTGCCGGCTCAGGCCTTGGAAGCGACTGAGGGTTCACGCATGGCAGAGGTGCCCAGGCCTATGCTTAGTTTAACAGATGGAGCCTTCCCTCCGAAATTGGATGACTCTGCCTGTTCCATAGCGAATTCTATTGGCCAGCTTGTTGCTTCCAACTGGTCTTCCGAATGCACTGTGAAGCGCTGCCACCACCCACAATGTTGCACTCACTTTTGCCAAGAGACTCTCTTTAGGGAGTTTTGGCTGCCGCTGAAACAGTTTCGGCCTATTGTTTCACGACACTCTTTAATGTGTCTTGGTTTTGGGCCCTAAAAATATAGGAAAGTTGTCAATCGTATTTCTAGTGACTTCAAACTTTGAGTAGCTAGAGCTTCAGATTTTGAGTAGCCAAATCTGTGTGATTAAAAGGCAGCCATTTTGAAACACGTTTCAAATTCTTTCCCAGATCAGGTCCTAAAGCTTTAGAATCCGAAGCCAGAAACCAAATCCTAAACCTTAAGCCAGGCAGCTTTATTCAAATCCTTTTCTAAAACCATCGAATGCCTAACCAAAACCATCGTAGCAAAGGGGGTAGTCCAGGAGGCCTCTGGATTCCGGATAAGGGTCATTGTTAGGAGACTCTCTTGAATCTGGCCGCCCTGGGACCTGTGAGGCTGTGAGTAGCCAAAGCTTTTTTTACAGGCAGCCCCTTTGAAAATCACTTGAAATCCTTTCCCAGCTCAGGTCCTAGACCTTCAGATTTTGAGTGGTGTTTAAACGGCAGCCCTTGTAACAGTCCTTCGAAATCCTTGCCCAGCTCACGTTCCAGAGATCTGGAAGCTGAATCCGAAACTTAATCCCCAACCCCTCAATCACTCACTCCACCAACAACCCTCAGAAATGCTTTCTATTTGCATCCTCAAGGCTGATACTACTTACAGAGGCAATACCAGTACTGCTAGCAATACTACTTATAACTGTACTTGTACCAGCCTAGGACCTGAGGACGCCTATTTGTAATTTTCTGGAGGCCCTATTGTGAGGGGGGACTATACATTAAAGGTGCAACATTAAGCAGCATCGACATGCGCTCTGGCATCACGTAGCCCAAATACTGGATTCTCGCAAGCTTGCACACGTGAGTGGATCCCCCACACTCTTTAAGAACAAGCTGTGCGCAAATCCTGGTCGGTTTTCGGAAGCTTCCCTGTGAACTTCTGTTGCCAGGTACCAAAAGACAAAGAAGACATGTACCAATTTCGGCAAGTAGGTGGCATGCCTGCGTTTGGCTTGCTGGCGTTTATTGACCTTGTGACTTCTCGCTTATGTCCAGCGGACCGCATTACAAACTCTGGACACTGTGAACGAGTGCATGTCTCTAATCATGTGGCATCGACACCTGTAAACTGTAAACTTCAAAAGCCTCGCACCTGACCCTCAGCCCCCAGCACAGCAGAACGCCCTGCTGTGACGCAAACCTCGTGGATTCTTAAGCCGCGTAGCTCGTCTGCTTCACCGGGACCGGAAACGTAATGACAAAGTGCCAGGATCTCAGCATGTAAAACGGTTGAAATTGGACACTGCGCACCAAAGTCGGGAGAAATGAGAACGGGCTTCCTGATCCCCTCCCAGCAGCAGCTCAAGGAGCACTGTAGCCAAAGCAAGAAATAGCGACCACAAGAATCATAGCAAGTGGTAGCAGCAGCTAGGACCATACAACTTCAGCACGTAGCGACAGTTCCCGCATGGCAATGAATCCAAGCGCCCTACTTCCTGAACAAAGTTTTCCAGCTCTGGGCGCAACACAGTGCATCTGCTAGTCTGCTAGTCTGGGCTTTTGTGCCACACAGAAGTCGGCACTTACTTCTCAAAGTTGCAAAGCTGCGACCGCAAGTTTGGAAACAACCCTGGCGTTCACTACCAAAACTATAGTCCGCACGGACCCCATATGAGCTACAGTCTAAATTCCTAGCATCCCCTTTATAACCCCTATAATATGATCCTATAGTATCACCTGAGGAGTTGAGACTATAGCTCATATAAAGCAACGGTGTCTGCAGAGAAACTCAGCAAAATCCATACAAACATGGCCTGAAGGATGCATCTCTAGCTTCTCATTTCAAGCCAGGTGGTGCGCCTATATTTGGTGACTTATTTCTGAATGCTATCTAGTTCTGTGCCTGACACCCCATGGAGCCCGTCTCCGAGAATACTAAACCAAGATGGGAGGGCCTCCCAGCATACTGGTCATAGGGGGGATTATATAGGGGACGACTATAGGGGTTACTAAGGGGGATACTAGGCGTTTAGAATGCTGGGTAGGGTTCTTCGTCCGTGAATTGTTTTTAATGTCTGTTATGGGTCCTAGTTCAAGGTTTGATACCATCATCTCCCGGTCATGCCGCTCATCGTCCCTGACAACTTCGAGGCCCATGATCTTGATCTTATCCTGACAAGCAAAGTGGGATCCTCTCAACATGAGGGTCCCCGCGGGGGTTCTTCCTATAAAATAAGGGGAATAGCGGGGCTAGCAACGGATCTGGGTTAGGGCTACTTACCTGCGACAGGTTGGAGCTTTTGAAGCATTGGGGCTGCCCTCACGACTAGCCTCGGAAGAAATTACTCCAGAAAGATGCCGCAGGCCAACATGGCCTGCGAAAGAAGTTGAGCAACATTCTTGTCCACCCTACATGATGCTCAGAAAAAATCTGATTGCTCCGTACTATAACGACCCTCCAAGGGGCCTATAACTTTGAGACAGGCCCTTGGCTACTTCTACCATTTCCTGCAACGCAAAACAGCGAAGGGGATATATGTCCAAAGTACTGACGTGCTTTGAGGGCTTTTCCGGTTTAGAGCGAGCATTCTGGGGATCATGATGCGTGCTATTACGAGCGACGGTTACGGCCAAGGCCCCGATTGTTGGACTAAGGTTGTGGTCTGGAGCATACTATGCCAAACAAAAAATGCAGGTAAAGTATACTGGTAGTTCTTCAGGCTCTTTACAAATAGGATACAAACCTTTGCTCTGGCTACGAATCCACATCTAAAAAGTGCTAACGTCTACCATGGTATCCCTGCAGGAGTATAGCCAGGCCTTTGAGATCAAGCTGGAATTCTCTGCCATGGCTCCGCCCTGAAGGTCCGGTAACTTCCCCACCCGTGCTCCCGGGACCCCTTCAAACACATTCATCTGAGCCAAGACTCAGACCGGAGCATGAACAAGGTAAGGCGCGCGCTAGTGCCCCGCGCGTTAGCGCAGGCCACTTTGAGGGGAACTCTGCTTTTTTGGTGGTTTCGTGCTACTTTCAAAGTTTCAATGCGCATTTTCGGTCGTCATCTTCCGAGCCCTCGCCGATTTTCGGGACTGTTCTGTGGACTAAAAATTTATGTCCGCGATGTTTTTGGCAAGCGGCGTTCTGGAGAAAAGTGGCTTCCCTGAAAAGAAGATGAACATAGCCAAAACCCGCGAGCCACCATCCAGCGCATGAGCATGAGCAAGTTATGGCTATGTCTCCAACTGGGGCTGCACTTTCGCATCCCTCAAATGTGCATCCTCCGTTCAAGAATGTCAGCCAAGAATCCAGCCACCCGCGTCTAGCTACCACAATGTCAGCTTTCGCTGTGCTGTAAAGAGCTTAACCGAAGGCTTTAAAGAAGCCCAGGCCCACAAGTGCGATGAAAAGCAACTTAGTCCGCGGTGAAATTGTATCGTGGTCATTACAATTGATAGCAGTCTTTCTGCTTGGCCCTCATGTGCCGACACGTCAAGTCCAGAAGTTAGGATGCAAATCTTCAGTAAGCGTGCAAACTGACGAACCACCATGACAGCACTCTGACACTCCTACTTGCCCATGGTAGCGGTGAGAGGCGCATTCCAAGTCTCAGGGCTCTATATCTTAACAAACAGATACTCGGACAACCCGCCAAGCATTCTAGACTCTAGATGCTACAGTCCCCACTGATTGAACCCATGCTGTGAGACACCCCTTTCGTTCTGTGGCTCAGGCTAAACATAGTAGAATTACTAATAATAGCACTAACAGTAACAATAGCAACAATGGTAACAACAGTAATTGCAATAATAATCATGCCTCCTGGCAGCGGCATGCTTCCACTCGTGGGTGGCTGCCAAAGAGAATTGCATAGAAACTACTTGCCGTAGGAGCCTTCTTCTGAAAACACGTGTGCCATAATCATGACCTAGCCATCTTGGAGCATATTCTGGCGCCCTAATTTCAATATTCGGTCTTCCGGCAAACAGCTTCTTTCAGTGGACAGTCACAGGGTCTTTGAGCTCTGGGACTAGGTGTGATACCCATGCTTCTGCTTGAGCCTCGAAGACTTGAAGTGCCTGTCTCATCCTCAGGCTAGGAATTGTAGTAATAACAAGAATACTGATAAAAATGGTAATAACGGCAATAGCAACAGTAGAATGATAATGATAGCAATAGTAATAACAGTCATAGTAGTAGCAATAGTAATACCGGTAGTAGTCTTACGGCCCCGAACCCCAATGTAACACAAAAGCGTTGCCAGGAGGAAAGCTGCAGACTGTCACGTTCCCTGGAACCTCGCTTGTTACTACGCTTGCTGAGCATCTGCCAGCGGTTTCGCCTTCCTAAAATGAACATGTTACGTCTGGATTTATGCTCCTGCAAGACCTTAATGCCATAATGGAAACATCGACTTTGATGGCAGGGCTGCGGCAACAGCTTCGGAGCGAGTCTCAAGAGCACAAGTCCTTAAATTGGACGTGTGGTTTATGGCTACGCGCCGTAGATGAGTTAATGGGACTACAACACTCATCAATGGCTCATCTTGCTAACTTGCTATCAGCCATTTGCCAGCTCAGACGGTCTGGTAGGACATTCCCAAGCGCTTCCGGTTTCTTGTCAAAGGATCGCGCGCGCCCTTCTCCTTCAAGGAAGGCGAGCAGCTTTTCGTTGTGAAGCCCCGAATGAGACACAGACACTAAGCCACTAGGCACAGACGCTGGTTGTAGCAGGGAAGGATTTTCAGGAAGCCTGTACGTCTGTACCGTACACCCTCCGCGTTGTTCAGATTCAGATGGTTACTCAGGCAATCCGAGGTGGTGAATCGGGGGCTTGCAGTGCGTGTATCAGCGCAAATCTAAGGAAAAGTAAGCGAACAAGCGAACATATATGCTCTTTACACGCTGCAAGGCGTGGTTCGCGTGGACTCTCAAGCTCCGACGTCTTGAACCTGCAAACTCCTGTCGAAGGAACCTCGACGGTCTTCATGCCGCGAACCTGGACGACTGATGCCCTGAAACAAGCGGCTGCTGCGGTTTGAACAGCTGAACCCGAAAACATCCGAAAACATACACGTGAAGCCCAGAACCTACAACAGCAGCAAGATGCTGTACTCAACTCAATGCTTTACTGCTAGCGTGCCCGTTCTTGGCTGGTCCTCGACGTCATGGAGCGTGCGCTCACGATGCCCAGGCAGGGGAAGCTGGAACGATAGCAGAAATGCTACAAAGTACCTCAGCAGTGAGCATCTTATGCATTTCACTTCATGCTATCAAAGGGTGAGGGGTGAGGATCTTTGTACATTGCAGAGAAACCAATACTTCATAGCTTGACTATGATGCCTCAAAGAGTATATCAACTGCTGCGTGGGCAGCGCTACGCGTAGCCAATCTTAGCAAGTTGGGGAGTGAGGCCTCCACAAGGACAAATGGATCCCAGCAGCAGGCTGTTGAAGGCAAGCACCGCCGACTGCACCGAGAAGCGGTTCCTTGCCACGCGCAGACTTTCACGGTTCAGCTGCCACGACTCATTGGATCGCAATGAAAGTGGAGCCTAACTGAATACTACTAGTAGGTCCCGGGACTCCAGCATCTTTATCGTGAGTATTCAGGAGTGCTGCTGAGGAAGCCTGGCTTGTCTGAACTGAGCTACTTCAGACAAGACAAGAAGCAGTGAGACCCCTGCACCGTGTTACATGGTCTAGGCTTGTACTGCTGCTCTCGGTGTGATTGTAAAGACTTTACGAAAAGGTTTCATGTCTGTGTACTTTCACTTCAGTGAATGCAAGTTGACGTCCGCTCCAGGCCATCCTGACAACCAGGATGACGTACCCGCGAGTTCCCCGCAACCTCACAATGTCAGAGCCCCTGCCCTTACGCCACAAAACTCTTACGACCAGAGCGTGGCAAATTAAAGTTACTCTGTATGCCTTGCGAAAAGGCCACTCTGTTTGTTCGGCCAACCCTCACCCAAACAGAAAGGACAAGTCCTTTGCTCCCACGCACTCCCCATGTCCCCTCTACAATTCCTCTACCCTCCTATACCTCACATTCATCTTTGCAGTATCCGTACAAAACTGTTACAAAGGGAGAACAACTCACCAAGCCAATCTGCAACATGATGACGCCCATGGCCGGCGCGAAGAGCTCAGCCACCTGTTGCGGGGCGCTCTGACCGCGATTGCAGCATGTAGACCCGACAAATGGGTAGTATCATCAATCAAAAATTTCTAGATGCTCAGGACATAGCGGACTTCAAGCCCCTTTTGCATCACTTGGACCTTTGAGGGACCAAGTTCTGAAAGTCAGCAGGTTGCCCTATGCACATGACTCGTGACATGAGATGGGAAGGCAAAGCATGCCTCCCCAAGGATTTCTGACGGAGCTTGCAGGCACATCCATGTGTGTGTGTGCGCGCATGCACGCACAAACCTTTGAATGTTCGGTAGCCGCTTGGGCAAATATCAGTAGCAAGTCACGGGCACTAGAGACGATCTGCTCTAGAAATGGCAAAAAAACATGAAAAGCCGAAACCCCCAAACTGACTTGCAAGCTCAAACACAGAAAGTGGACACCAAAGAGCAACCTTCCGGAAATGAAAAAACAACCTCCAAAACTTACAGCCCCGACAACAACAAACTGACACCCCGAAGAACTAAGTTCATCCTCATGGTGATCAGACAGCTGTGTGCCACTTCCAGCTGCTGTTGCTGCAGCGTTTTGTGAGGAGCGATCTTGACTCAATCTCGCCACCCTCACTGAGCAATACTGCTTTCCCTGTGGCCTTAACCTCCACTTTATTTGGTAGTTTCCCCAATAAATGGGGACCCCAATACACTATAGCCCTGATTATAGGCACCCTCAAAATGGTACCCCCAATTTTCGGAAACCCCCATCTTGAAACAGAGCAGCCAGCCTGGCCAAAGAAGAGCACAAGCCCAACTGCGCTCGCCCTGCACATGACTGGGCTGCGGTGCAACCACCAAGTCACAAATCTGTCGCAGCAAGCTAAGGGGACACTTTAGACCCTTTTGCGTGCTAAGCCAAGCTTTCTGGCAATTGGAGCCCCAACCACTAAGATTTGCACGAGAATTGAGTGGTAATTAGCCAAAGCAATCAGAGCAATGGCACAAAACAGCTGGATCGTGATAATCTGATAAGCATCTAGCAAAAATACAAACATGCAACATACACCCGAAAATCCTGAACCCCGTGAAGCAATACCCAAAACCCAGGTCTTGAAATCCCGCAACCCCTCACTGCTTAGGGCTTAGGTTTTGATAACCTGTCCCCCAGACCTTAGATCTGCATCCACTCCTTTTTCACCCTAGTGAGTAGCGTTCTTTTTGGTGGCTAATTTTTGGTGGTTAAACCCAGTAAGATTATATTCCTTATATAAAATACTATACCCCAAAAGGAGGACATAATCTTACTCTATATTGGGTACCAAAGTATCCCCAAATAAAACACTGCTCTGATGCCTTGAAGATGTTGGGAAGCGTTCGCACGCAAAGACCTGGGAGCGCAGCCAAAATCAGGAAGCGAGGGACATTTTGGCAAACCCAACCCCAAAATGGGGAAGCTATAAAAGTCATGTGATAATCATACGTTTGGGGGTTGGGGTTGGCAAAACCCTCTGATCACATTTGACAAGTTCCATGCTTGTGGATCCATCTGTGAATCAACAGCAGCTGTATGTATATAGCCCGCCCTGGAGCCAGAAAGGACTTCAGCTTCTACTGCTGCGGGTTTCTTTCTCAAGTAGAGACGAGGTTTGCCTTTCGTATGCCAGAGAATGTCACAGTCTCAGCTGAGGGAACCCCCCAAAAGGGACCTTTACTGCTGAGAGCCCCTCAAGTGCACCGGAGAAGAGCCACCCATGCAGCTGGATTTCAACCTTTCCTGACTAAACCTGTCTTTCGAGTCTCAATTTGGGATACACATGTCCGTGCATGCAGGAATGAACTGTCAAAGAGCCAGTAAGATCCAGACAAGTAGAAAGTTTGTGGCTGCAGCATTGGCAATGAGTGCCAGTCCAAACAGCGGCCCAGCGGTCAACCACCTTGGAGATGGTTCGCAACAACTCTTGGCTGAAATTGGCTGAAGGTCATGAAGGTCATACACCAAAACTTCCTAGGAGTACATTCTGTCGTCAGCGTTGGCCAACTGTGACTCTACCCTTCTCTTGGTTCTCTGCAAAGTCTGTGAAGCAGACGTCGCGCGGAGCACCATCTTCTGAATCACACCATGTATCTACTTTTCCTACCATGCTGCCTTACACATATATGCTGCCAACTTTCATCCGCAGCACATTGTCAGTTCCTGCTGCATCTTTAAGCCTTGCAGCTTAATCGCCTTTATTTGCTGCATGAAACGAAGATTCACTTCTCGAAAGCCCCCAGAACTACTTCTCAATCCAAACGCACCTTTTGCATCAAATCTTCGCCCGAGCTGCAGGTTCCGCCTCTCTGCCAACGTGGCACCGATGGCCAAAAGTGCTGCTGCGCATAGCGAGCCGCGCACCAGAAGCCGTCGGGTCAAGGCCTTTTCTGGTTTTACCGTGCTAAGGGTAAGGATTCAGGGCTTGCCTGGACCCTGAATGTCCTTTCGGGTTGGAGGCTTTGTCATGCATAATGTCCCAAAACAAAAGCTTGGAAACTTTGCCTTTCGCCGGCAGAACGTTTTGGTCCTGTGAGCGCAGTTGCAGGCTGTAGGAATGTGTCGGTCATGTACTATGCACCGATTGGGGCTCTATGACCTGTCTAGGACCAACATTTTGCTTTGGACAATCTGGGCAGGGCTGGCAAGTACGTTCGACATGAAACTGTGCAAAAAACAACTATCACCAATGATGACATGCCCGTACGTGCTTCACAACTGCCCAAGCGTTCTAGATCCTCTCGGCTTCGCGACGTTGTTTTTGCTGGTGCTTCCCAAAGGAAATATCCTTTGCCAAGGTGAGTTCTCCTGAGTATTCCTCCACACTGTATTATAGGCCCAAGCAGCCCAAGAGGCAGCAGCACACAGGACGACGCCGCAAATCTCAAGCCTGGCCAGCACACTTCTGACATGTCCCGTCAAGATGCACCGCGCCATCATCCCCAGACACCCACGACAAAGCTGATTGTACTGCGCAGTGCATGCAGCCCCGCTCAACCATCACAACTCTGTGTCGTATTGTTCAAAGTCAGCATCGCAAGAAAGTACGGACAACAATGCAAGAGGAATGGAAATTCAGGTTTAACTTAATCCAGGAAGAGGGGCATGTATCCCTGGGCTGCCACCATCACCAGGTGCCGATCCAGACCGGTGGACCCTGCACTGAGCAGGGAAGCTCCGGAGGACTGGGCCTTGGAGCCCGCGGCCTGCCATCTCAAACCAGCCGAGAGGGAAAACCTAGAGGACTGAGAGTAAGGTTTTATGGAGATTTTTTGGGGAACCTGGGGATGATCCTACAAGGGCTCTTCAGGGGGAGTATACGGGGCTATCACAATCCATTTTTGGTAGATTGTAGGGACCTGAATTGCCAATCTGATTGGCCTCCATATCAGCAGTTATATTTTAGTCTGGGCATGGTTCACCCTCCTTTGAACCAAGCCTCTGTACTCTAGCATATTCAGCGAGGCCGGACGCAGTTCTATCTAACCATCGCTGCGCTACGCACATCGTCTCTGTATAGTAAAAGCGCAATACATCGCAATGTCTTTACATACTCTTTTACAGTGCCTAGGGTTTCCATGTTATTCCTTTCTCCGTTCTGACCGCCGAACCCAAACCCCGGGTCTCCCAAACGACAAAGCTGAGAAGCTGGCCTGCAGCAACGACATCGCCAGCAACATTACTGGCGTCTGGTGCGGGGAGCCAGCTGCGAGGATTGTAGGTATCCAGGCCTGCGTCAGACCCTCTCGCATTGTGTTGGTGAGAGGTCAGCAGAAAATGTGTTTTCATGAGGTTTGGCAGTGTATGCTACTAGCGAGCAAAGAGGGCCATTTTAGAGGATAGTGGCAGGAATGCTCTCAAGATAGCGCTGAAGTCTTCTCGGTGATTTTGAAATCTCGGGTGGAGGGGGCTCCGTCGGGACGTTCCTGAAAAGCACGCTGGGTATCTTTTGTGATTGTACCTCTGGCCGCTCTCTATCTTGAAGATGTGCAAATTCTCGGACCCATGCAAATGAGAGAAAGTACCAGTGGGAATGAGGAACGTATTCCTGCCTACAGAATGCTGACGAATGTTTCGCCATCAACGGGAGTCGGAAAGTGCACGGGCCCGAGATCATACATCGTCAAGGTAACAGCCTGGATAACTTTTGCGTCAGGGGCCTGCTTGCTTTCATGCCACCACGCACACTTCAAAAGGCACTATGCATTCTACCGAAACTTGGCTCATTCAACACATTTCTGGTGCAACACTCCGACGTCTTAACTCAACCCTAGACCCCAAACGTTAAATTGAGCGAAGCTCCGAGCAGGCTTAGCGGATTTTGCAGACCTTTCAGTTCCCATCAAATACGTCCCGAGCCGGCAACCGTACCCGCAGCGTGTGTAGCACCACAAGCATGCTGATACAGCATCTTTGGAATGATCAAAAGCAGTATGACTCTAGTAGGTGAGAATCCTATGAGACAACAGACAACTATCCGTCTTTGACGCCCGAGATATCTCTCACTGAGGCCATGGCGCGCATACACTGCGAAGCACAGTGGCTGAAGAAGATGATAAGGCACAGCCAAGCCTGTCTGCTCTGGGCTGATAAAAACCTTGCTACTTGATATTAGCTACTTTGACTTGTCTTCGTACTGCTTCTCCCGTGTTCAAGTTTCGGGCGCGTACCTCTAAGCAATTCTGCACCTTCTCCACACCATGTGCAAACCGCATTTCGCTAGTGACTGTTCCATATGTTACTCCATAGCGCCAGAAGGCTGCATCGGTTGGACGGTTGCAAGGCTTGAAACCTGCATCTCAACTGGACATACAATCGCAAACTGAAGTCCAGAACATATAGCGTCACACGCGCAACCCCGCTCATGCCATCTCAAACTGGACATCCGAACCAAATGCGGAACAGGTCAGGCTGCTGTGATAGCTGCATCAGAGTGGGCCAAGGATCGCAAGCCGGACTTCACCTCCTGGAAACGTTGGGAAACGGCTTGACATGCAACAGTTTGATATGGCTAGGTACTGTAGATCTCAAAGTATAGCCTTATAATTTCGAAGGGCTTCAGGGGAGGGGAAGACGAGTGCGCGGGGGGGGGGGGGGGNNATGCAATGGAAACACGAGGGGTATATACTATACTATACACAGGAGGTAATATGGGCGGTGGTGCGATATACCTGTATTTATACATGCTAGATACATCAGGATTATAGAAGTTACTCCTCCATTGCAAGTGTCCTAGAAAAAAATCTGCCTCGAAACTCAGCTGATAGCATGAGTGGAGATGCAGTGGAAAGTTGCTGAGCTGAGTGTCGGCCCTGCTCTTTCGTTCGACGCCTCACATGTACAAATTCCGAATCTTACAAAGGCCCTATAAGCAAAACAAGTCGTGCAGGATACTGGTCTGGTCGACAATGGCAAGCTCCATGCTTGTGACATCTGATAATACGACATCCGCATGCCAGCCGGCCAAACTTGCTGTGTCTTGCCAGCCCAACAGACAACCGTCATAGGAACACTCTCGTCCCGTCCTGGACATCTCGTCAAGCGGGCTCATTGCGCATAAATTTTAAGCGTATGAAGTCCAATATCGGACCCACCATCCTGAGAAATTTGCAACATTAGGCTCTTAACCCTGCACTTGCCGCGATCCCATAATATCCATGAATCCTGCAACACAAAATGCGTATGCCGAACCCGGGAGAACGAGCCCCTCCTTGACCTCGGAGGAAGTGGTAAGAGAAACGGAGTCTGGGCCCCAAGGCAGGCACATCATCTCCTGCTCACCACAAATGAGGCAATTCGCTTTCAAAGGATTATTGTCAGGGACGTGCCCACTCCTGGAAATGCTTTAGCTGCCTGCATTTCCATGAGCTAGAGACTCCCCCCGTGCCCAAGAGTTTTGAGTGCACCGCGCCTTGTCATACATCTCCGCCAGTGTCAGGAAGCCTGCTCAGCATGAAAAGCACCAACAGGCTTGGGCGGGGTTGCTTGCATGCCATAGACTGAAGCCACACTGACACAAGGAATCAACCCTCAAAGTTGTGGAAATTCTAAGCTGAATGACCCTTGTTCATGCAAGCTTCAGCTTTGGACACCTATGGATTTCGGTACTTTTATTTGGCCGCAACCATCTGCCACCCTAAAACCATCAAAGCCCCATATATACACCCTCTACCACCTTTATGATCCTGAAGTCCTCCAGCATAACCCCTGCGCAGCTGAAAATTTTGTCTTTCAGGGAACTCTCACTTTGTAACATCTTGAAGGCCTTCTTCCCGCCGTCCGGCCAAGTAGAGGAAGCGCGGGGACTCAGGCATAACCTGCACAGAACTGAAGATTGTGCTGTTTACGAAGTCTCTCCTGTCTACGTGACCCTGTACCCACATGGTAATCTGAAATGGGGAGGTGGAAGGCTGCGGCCTTAGAAGCAAGTAAGAATTCATCAGCTGCGGCCAGTGCTACTATGATGTTCGAGGAGTCTGTAAGTGTTCACTACCAACGAGGTTCGAGAGGTTCGAAGACAGGCTACGTTTGAGAGCAGAATTTTGAGTTGCCACAGGTTGCTCAACAATGCTTAAAAGCAAGTCGCCCTTGTACCCCAATATGAAACTATTAAACGTCTCCCCCCCGCCCCCCCTCCCCCACCCCCTTTATGTAGATATTCGAACCCGTATTTGATCACAGGGAAGGGGGTGTATTTATTGTACAGCTCTAACATCAGGGGGCGGGTATACAATGGGATCCTATTGAAACCTAACTAAAACCAAATTAAGCATCGGCTAGATTGAAAAAAACCGAGTAAATAAATCTAACTCAAATCGTAAGAACATGAATACTTCGAGTCGACTTAAAAGCAACTGAAATCTAATTAAGATCGAGTTTAAAGCAGTTTGAACCAACTCAAGACGTAATCAACCCAATAAAAGCTTGTCCAACATGTGATTAAAATCTAATCAAAATCGAATTAGGCCCTGATTATCTGGTTCAAATCAAGTGAAATCGAAATAAATCTAATGTCAAACCTCATGACAAATGATTTCAAATCGCAACACATCCCACGAAAACTGCACATCCAAGCAGTAATTAAATTTCGTGTTGGCCCTTTTGAAAAACACTCTTGGGGTCAAATTTCAGAATTTGGAACGCTAGGGCACCCGAATTTTACACCAGGGGGGTTAATATTAGGGGGAAGCTGCCAGCGCTAGCTCTCTCACGTTCGGAGAGCAGGGGTTGCACCAACGAGCCTCCCTTTCAACTGGCACCAATTATAGCAGGCCCTGACAATAACAACTTCCGACGCTGGGCATTACACACTGACAAATCACGTGAAAACTGAGGCTAAGAACTTCCTACAGCGCAGCTTTCTTCCCACCACAGCACCCAATTGGTCCACTAGCCAGCTGCTGTAGCTCCCGCTCTATACCCGATTGAGGGATAGTATTCTTCACAGGCATCTGCAAGCCAAGCTGCATCTAGACGGCAGAGGATGTAGAGGACCACCGCAGGCGCGGTCATCATGAACACGAAATCTGCAGATGGCTGGGGGCTCAGAGCATGTACGTAAACAATTGCTGCGCTCGGCGGCTGTAACAACTTCCTTTTGGCCTGGTACCTGCCAAGTACTTCCGAATCATGAAAAGACTTTCGGTCAAGGGCTCTACGTATCTGGAGAACGGTAAACTATGCTTAATTACAAGGGGTTGGGCAAAAAATGCACCGTCCAGAATCCAAACACATAGGAACTCCTCCACGAACAGTGCCACAGCTTTTGGTGGTCTTGGTGGCAACTACAGGATTTTTGACATTTTGTTGAAAGAAACTCCGATCTGCCACCCGATCTCAGATCCAACAAGGATTCTCACTGCAGCCGAACTCCCATACGAGATGGGGCTCCAAGACCTATCTTAAAGCTGCGTTTAACATAACTGGGGGTTGACCTCTGGTAACCACAGGATTCCGCAGTGCCCAGTAGGTCTAAGAGCCAGCCACACCTATGTCTTCTCACTTTCACTGCCGGAGGAGATATCTAGTGTATCCTTGAAGCGAAAAGAGCATCTGTGCGTGCAAACTGCGCATCCATTCTCTGAATCGACCCTGTGCAAGGGTGATCTTGGAGGAGATTCCCACAGCACCTGGAAAGATCATCTGAATGTGCCACGAATGAGGGGTCCTGGGACAGGTGTAACTCCCCACGGTTTGCCCTGGTCACGCAAGGAAGGCGTTGCGTGTCCTGCCACGAGCTCAATGCTCCCCGCATTTGATGCGAGACTCTGATAGATTCCCAACCACTGGCTCAATGAGCACCATCTCGCACACACTTGAGAGCCAAGTCATGGAGCAAGAGTGCCCTGTTCTTGACTTTACTACAACCAAGATACCCATAAGCAACTCCCTCTAATCACCTTCCCTGCCCAGAACCTCAATGCCGTTGCTGCTGTCTCTCCTCACCTCCAAACCCTGAGCTTCAGTGTAAAGCCGCTGCTTCCAGGCGGCTGGTCCAATCCAGTCGCGGCAGCAAGCAGCTGATGAGGACAGCCAGCAGAGCCCCCGCTGGCCTCATGCTGGCGTGCTTGAGGGCCTACAGCGTGAGGGCCTACAGCGTGGTTTCCTCAATGCGACTTTCACCTAACCCGTACGTACCTGTGCAGCAGTTTGAGGCAAAGCTTTGCACCAGGCGATAATGTTACTGAAAGCAAATGGTGCCGCTGAAAGGCCGGAAGCAGTAAGCGATGCAGTGCCAAGAAAATCGGCCCTCAAAGACACACTTCTAGTTGTCAAGAATAACCGTTCCAGATCATGTGCCATGTAAGTAACAGAAGCGGAGAGGATTCAGCGCCGTGCATGTAACCATCTAAAGCCGGAATAGCCCTGCCACATTGTAAGCTCCAAGGCACTAAGCACTCAAAAAATCGCTCAAGATGCCCCATGCCGTGACTCCTACATCTGCCCGAATTCTCTGCCCCATGCCTTCCACAGCACCAGACTGTCCTTGGCCGCGCTGAATTGCAAAGAAAGCAAAGAGCTTAGAGTGCGGGCGGGGAACTGGACATGGCAAGGCACGAGACTTCCTCAACATCTCTCAAAGGGGTGTCCTTCACCTCATGCTGAGGATTCTCATCAACCTACCACATTCGTATCGCCTGCATCTTGCCAAGGTTGGGCGGGGACGCGCATGAAGATTCGCATGCAACATCCCAAGCAATCAGGACGCCCTACACCAGAAGGGGACGAGCGTCCAGAGAGAATCTGAGCTGTTGGCGTTATTTAAAGACATATTGAATGCAGGGGCTTCTTCTGGAAGATGACAACATGTCCCATACCTCCCTGAGTGCTAAAAATCTCGTGCCATCTAGAATGGTCCTAAAGGCTGGTGCAGTCAAACACAGAGGACTGTTGTGGAGCCCGTTGCAAGCTTGATTGTGGCACTTTTTTGCAAGGTCTGTGCTACACATTTGCCACCCCAAAGCAGTCAGCAGACTCCTTGCAAAGGACACGCTGTCATATTTCCGAAGGCTGTGACTCCAACATTCACCCAAACATCTGAAGGATAACTCTGTTTTTTGAGCTGGGGGTCATGTAGAAACCTCTCCGCCGTGCTGGGAGCAGCTCTGCCACCAGGGGAATCAAGGCCTGGAGGGCCAGGGCAAGGCAATCATGAAGTTGGGAGAGGCCGACAGGCAAGAGGAAAACCTTTGTTGAAAGCCTAGGATGAGCCCACAGCAAGCCTGTGGTAAGCGTGTAAGAAGGGAAGCGGGCAGGTCAGTTTTTGCTGAAGTGCATGCCCGCAGGTGCACAATACCATGAAGGATAAGGGACAATATGGTACTAGAATCACTAGAAGAGCTTGTGCGTCGCACGTTGGTGCTTCTCCTAGTTCGAGGACATTTGCTGGCAGATGGATGCTCAAACTTTCGGAGAAGTCATATGCCAGGGCAAGATTCCAAACGCAAACGGGCAAACAATGCACGACGTGAACGTGTGCGAGATACTCGATCCTCAGAATGTGTAGCTGCTTGAGAATGTTTCAAGAATTACAATAGGAACTCCAAGATAAGAATGCCCATGTAAGCGGGCCCGTTATTTTCACAACATCGTCTGCCCACACGGATCAACGCCAAGCTGCGGCCAGCAGCCCGCCTGAAGTGAGCCCTGGGCAGGCGCTGTTGAGAACTCCAGCGTATGCGTGCAGAGTTGAGCTTTTGCACTATTCAGTCAGGGTGTCGGGACTTGAAGTCTAATTTGGCTTGAGACTACATTCCAAGCATCATAAAGGTAGAACATGCGTAAAGTTGTCTGCACAGGCAAGTTAGGTGAATTATGCGAACCCCACAAGCCGGGCTGCAAGGGTCTGGCACAATGAGTAACGAATGCAAATTCAATGCATGGCAAAATGCACTGGTTGCACAAAGGGTTGGATGCAATTGGCTGGCAAACGCTTCAGGATGCCAGATGACCAAGTTTTTGCACATCTCAAGGCAAGCGTTCTCCACCTAGGGTGTGCGGAGAGTTCTACCAGGCGATGCCCACCTTTCGTTGGGCCTCTCGCCGATCATTCAACGCAGCGCACTTTCATTCCCAAATAAGAATTATACGCTTGCAACTGCGCCCTTCCAGACTGCCTGGGTGGCTGTACTTGTGCAAGCAAACCATACGCAGCTCCGTGTAAGTGTTGAGGAGGACATTTCGGGACTGTTGTTCTGAGAACGCCCCTGCCTAGCAGAAATCTTCCGCAGAGAGTTTGGCCCAAGGTCCTGACACGAGGATGCTCGCAACCTTCTTGAAAAAATATGAACGCACATCTGAGCAGAGTAATGCATAACGACTTTGTAGACTCGATATACATACTTACCTACCTACATGTATCTGCCTGCATACATGCATACATTTTACATGCAAAGGCAATTCACACCATGCCGCAAGGGGGGACAGAAGCCATGCGGGATCCTGGACGACTGCACCAGGAGTCCACAGCTCACCGTCGCAAGCGTAAGGCAGCGAATCACATTGGCCCGACCGGTCTTATCCTCAGGCTATGAAGGTAGGCTTCAAGCTGGCCAGAAATCGATGTGCTCCGGGTCTATGTGACTTCTTTCGCCACTAGAGACAGGCAGCTTGAGAAACACATCAGAAATAAGACCAAAGAGCTACGCAAACAACATGCGCAAAGCATGACCTCCAAAAGCTTCTTGCAAGAGTGCCAGTAGTGATGGGCCTCTTCCTCCAGGTGCTTCACAAATGCTACATTACAAGAGTCCAACACGATTCGCCTCAAGCCTCTCAAACCCTTTTGTCATATCATAGCTATGTGTCACAACGGGGCTAAGCCGCAGGAAACTACCGAAAGCACTCCCCGCAGGGGAGGCCAAGTTAGCCAGGTCTCTGCAAACCAACCTGCCAGAAGCATAGAGATTGCGTTGCCCACGCCCATGGCAGCTAAGACCGCCTGCACGTTGAGCTCATTGTAGGTCCAGTCCTGAGGCTTGGTCCCTAAACACACCTGCGCAACCCGAGTATACGCGACATGGGCATTGAATTTCTGCAAGCCAGGGCAGATTGGCAGCAGAACCAAGGTTTCAGCCCGAACTTTCTTGAACCTGTCTTGAGCTTCTTAAAATGTGAGGTGGCTGCCTTCCGCGGATTGCTTGTTACCCGTCAGACCGCTCCCAACACTCTTGATTCTTCAGCTCTGCCTTAGTGCTTTCTAGAAGTAACGAGGCTGTGCACTGTAGGAGGGGTGCTTATCAGCCCCTTAAAACTTGATTATGATTTTGTGCTAGCCTGTCAGTCTGCACAAGTACACCTCACGATCAGCAACCTGCTTTGGTCACCTACGTAGACATCATCGCCAGGAAAAACGCTTGGCACATTCCCGCTGCAAAAGCTTGCAGGCCAAAGGCGGTGTCAAGCAGTCCAAGAGCAAATGGGGTTGGCCTCAGCATCACTCCGCTGCAATTGTCAACCTCAAAGGAAGGACTGTAGTCGCAGCAAAACAACTGTACGATTTTGTTTGCTTGAATTGAAGTTCTAGTTCAACACCTGTTTTGTGGTCATCCGCCGCCGCCGTTCCACCAGCCCGCAGGCCCTAAAGCACCTGCTTTCTGAGGCATGCTCAGCAGAAGTGCTGGGCGTGTCGTTAATCTCATAATTCCTAGGAGTCCAGAACATCTCATGAGCCCCGGCAACCTTCAACCTCGCTCAAAATGCCCAAGAGCCCTGAACACAAAATTTAAGCCACCGAGCTCATTGAGGGCGCCCAGCCAAAAGGATGCCAGGAAGGCGCACAGGAGCAGCTCCCAAACCTGATTGCTTTGATTTGCCACTGCTTCTCCAAATTCTAGGTCTCTATTGCCATGCCGCCATCGTTGTTTTGTAGTGGTGCATTGGAGGACCCTACTTCTGAAGAAAACTCCCATCTAACGGTTTTCAAAGTAGCTGTGTAAGAGCACAGAGCTCACTGGGTCGTGTTGGGTTGTTTCTGGGCTCTACGTTTAGGCTTTGAGCGTTGGGGACTGTTTGTTTTATGGGCTTCTCAGACCTTCCATAGAATACATATTGCTTGCAGTCATCGGCAAGAGCACATGTGTTTCAGGTTCTGCTGGGGCTTTAGTATACTGTCTGGAGTTTCTCACCATGGCGTGTACATTTGCTCCATGCTGTCTAGCTGGATCCTGCAACCAGATTGGAAGCAGGAAGCTACGCCAACTGCAATGCTCAACTCAGACCCTGTCAAGGTGTCTCCCCTTTTGCGCTATTCTCAAGTGATGCTGCTTGCGCATTCCGTGCGGTAGGCAAGGTGGGTGCAGGTCTGGAGGAACTGCTGGCCAGGAAGCAAAAACACCGATCGGAAGGCCTTCGATACACTGGCCCACCGTCACAAACCCATCGGACATGGTTGCCTACCACGGATCCTTGGTGGTGGGCGGCTGGGGAAAGACAGACAGGTTTGACCTTCCGCAAAACAATGAAATTTGCCAACCGCTGGCGGGAATGTGGGACAGATCCATCGCTCGTGGAGATTTGCGTCAAATTCCAAAATCTGCGGATCCTAGGCAGCAAATACCTTGCAAAAGCGGCCATCGCTATGAACCGAGCATCTTGAAGATGATTCAATGAGGAGATAATCTTGCCACTTGGCGCTGGACTAAGCCTCTCGCACCCTGTTCCACATGTTGAATCAGACGAAGCTTCGAGAAGGGAAAGGGCCTTTTGTCTAGCATGATGTTTACCTGCCGCCATGTAATCAGGCGTGAGAACTAACATGCCTAGCTTCCTCATGAGATGCGCACCCCAGGGACAATCCTGGGAACAGTTGCATCTTAGCATCAATCGGAGGCTCCGCGTGCACCAAGACTTCGCTGAATTTGATAAGAAGAGTACACTCTCCTCAAGCTGCAAGATGCATGGGCTCTGCTAGCCTTGTATTCGGGACAATGTGGCAAGCTCGTGGCTGACTCACCTGGCAACCTACACGACTCTTGCTGTGATAATTTACAGCCCCGGCTTTGCACTACTGCACGTGTCACAGTTGGCAAGGTTAAGAAGCGCGAGCGTCAGATGGAGGGTGTTCCAGGCAGCATGAGCCCGTGGCCCCCGCGGCACAGGAGATGGGGGGTCGGAACTACCTCGACCCTGTTGCCGCGTATTGGGCCAAAACCCGGCAATCAAGCTAGATCCTTAGTCCTTGGCCCTGCGCATGAGATCGTAGCAAGACAACATGACGTCTGCGAGTCTAGTCTCCTGCCCGAAGGCCTTGTTCCAAACCTGTCAGCGCGCCTGTACTTGTAAGTCCTTCACAGCTACTACACTACGCGTGCATCAGGACTTTTGCGGCCAGGCTTGGGCTGGTTTTCTGAGGGTTTCTGGACTGCAGTGAACTCCAAGGTAAGCCGCCATCCACTTCCAAAAAGCTCTTACGTAGCCTGGAACCTCCTACATAGCAAATGTACCGCTGCCTGCGAAGGGGCCCATCGAAAGGTGAGGACCTCATCTATAGAGTTGACTTTGGAAAAATGTCAACCCAAGTCAAGCTCCTGACCTCATATTGAAGAGCGAACAAATCAAAACCTTGCGCTGTAGTTTTGAAGTCCAGACTGGCATCCTGCGGTAAAGGTCTACAAGCAGCCTAAATCGCCCATTTTTTGGTTGCGAGTGGAACCCTGGGCTTGTGCTACTATATGCTACCATGCGGCTGAATCCACAGGAGATATGCTGAGACTTACCTGCTACGAAGCTATGCATGTCCCTCAATTCCTGAAAATCGGCTCAGAAAGGGTCGAAGCGAGGAACCGAAGCAGTATGAAGCAATCTGCACAAACAACTCTATTACAGTACAGTAGTAGCGGGAAGGGGACAAGCACAACAGGACGTGTTGAATATGTACAGTCTTTAGTGGTGCCATCGCGATAGCTCGTGATCGCCTTTCCGAGAGGCTTCAAGCAAAAGAAATGCTTGCTGGATTGCACGTTCAGCCGGGCCCCGAGTCGCAACCCAGGCAAACTCAGCCAGCGTTTGGAAAGGCTGCCATAGCTAGGGCTGCATGTCTGCTAGCTGCTAGCAATGAACTGCCCGCTGTATTTCAGCCATGAGAAGCTCTGCTGAAAATCTCTTGAGGTACAAAGAACAAAGCCACTTCCAGGGATGAATGTGCGGGACTGCCGTGGGGCGGGGATATTGCTTCATCTCGGATCCTGCCGTCCACAGCACTTCTGGACAAGAACCATAACATTCTGGACAGTGCTGGAATACTCTCTGTGGCAAGCATATGCAACAGCCATTCTGACTTGCGGCTTACTTGTTCGTTCCACTGATGTGGCCCGCTAATGCTACGTACTTAAGCCAACTTCAGACGCATTCATGAACATGTCTCTCCGAACCCAATGACTGCCGCCCCGCCGGCTCAGCAATGGCCCTGTCATCGAAAGAGCGTTCAGCATGTTTCCACGCCGCTGTCACACACACCATACACTCACCCGGCCAGCTGCGGGCAGCTGACGTGGTCAAAGCGGCAATGGCTCCCATGCTTGCAAGAACCTCGTTGAAAAAACTTGCAGGGATGGGCTTTACCACATTGTCTGTTCATTCCATGATGGCACCTTCCCTGGAGGAAATCATCACAAATCGCTCGCCCTATAGTGGACTGCTTTTCTGCGACTTTGTCATCTTCAGAAGATTCCCCCCAGCATCGTGACGAGTCACGCCAGTGAGGTGCGCAGCCGTGTGCCTTTGCAGCGTGTGCTCGAGTGTCTGCGATCATGACAGCTTGTCTCGCAGAAGAGTTATGCCAGTCATGGGGGTCGGTGCTTGAAGACGCTTTGTGGATAGACCGCGTGATCTCTGTCAAGAAAGAACATTCTTGCATTGGCCGCTTCTCCAGTGGAACTGTAGCACTGCCTAGGATCTTCGTGAAGGTGCTCATCAATGCAGATTTCTGCTCCATCGCGAGCTTGCCCACTTGTTGCTCTCGGAACTCTGCAGCCTCGCGTATCCGTTTTCTGCCAAGGCCACGAGCACTGCAACCCATTCGCTCAGCGCAGAAAAGCTTTTGGCGAAGTTGATCTAGCTCTTTTGGTTGCAATCCGCGCTCTACACCAAAAACGCCTAAGGATGCATCCAAGATAGTGTCCCCCACCCAGGCAAGGCTGTCACTGCGTCTCAGGTTCAGCTGCAGAATACCTAGGTCTATCTGTTCTTGGATCCTTCTTCGCACTTCCTCCTCCTCTGGGTCTGTCTCCTCTTCAGAGCCATCGCTGCTGTCACATAGCAGCCAGGCCGTGAGGCGCTTTCTGCGGACTGCATCCCTCTCAATTCCATTCAGCCGATCGATGTGCCTTTGGAATTTGCGTCGATCCAATAGCATCATCTCCTGCATGAGACGCTCCCGAGCATCTTGCTCTTGAGATTGGGAGATCTGACATCTGGCCTCATCCTTGACATCTTGCAATACAGCATCGAAAACTCTGCTGAAAATGCGAACGAACGATGTAGCTGACGCATGAGCAGGATTGCTGCTCTCACCAGTTGGAGAAAGCAGTTTTTTGATGGCATGCATGTTCAAAAATAACTTTGCTTTCTTCACTTTCTTCTTGCGGCCAGACTTGAAATCTGTGATTGGGCTTGCCGTGATCAAACAAGTCTGCCACATACTTCCAGACCACACCTCCCAGTAACAGAGTTGCTTTGCCCACCAGAGCTGTTCACTGCACTGTGCATTTCTGATTGGTGAGGCACATCGATGCAAGATTTCCAAGGGCGCGTCAGATATGACCCACGTGCGGGATGTCCAAAAGATATGGTAAACTGGTTCTGATACCTTCCTGAAGACAGGCTTGCCATTTCCAACAAATCCTTTGCATAGCTTGTAGATACCGCACAAGTGTTGTTGGACGTTCTCAAAGCCAGACAGTTCAAAAGCGACCGCACCAGGGCAATAAAGCACAGAAATATCATCAAGCTGGCTAGCATTGACAAGCTCAACTTGAGGTAAGGCATAGAAATCGGAAAGAGACGCCATCACAACACGGGTTATGGTCTGAAATGGCTCAAGATCCGCACTTTCTGTTGAGCAGTCCCGAATTGCTTTCATTCGCATTTCAAGCCAGGTCTGCCTTGCTGAGCGGGCATAGCTTGCAGACTCCGTAGCAGCTAAACAGCCGAAGAGCTTACCACTGATAAGCACAGGATCCCTTTTCAGCTTTCGTGTAATGATGTCTAGAGTCTCACCATCTTCGTAGACCACTGGAAATCCTTTCATCCGATGTCGCGCCTTGAACTCCTCTGCCAGTGCTTCCCAAACGTGACCCATGGAAGAGGAGCAAGAATCACACATGGCTGCTGCTTCTGACCTATCGGGGTGGTTGTTCAAGGCATCGTACAATTTCGAACGTGCAAGCAAAGCAACCTCAGTCTCCTTTCTGAGCAAAATCCTGGACCAGGCAGTGGCAATTTGCTTTAACGCGTCATCCTCACACAAAGTGTCTTGTCGATCCCTTGACTTCACACTGAATTTCTTCAGATTGTACCCATACTGCGGTCCATGTGACGTGGCAGAGACCTGAGCCAGCAAATCCTTCACAAATATTTTGCCACTAAAGCCCGTGTTCAAAATCACATCTGCAAGCCCATCTCGGATGAAGCCTTTCATGCACGGGTCTTGTTGCACGAGGGGGTGCAAGAACATGTAACGACATGTGTCAAAATCGCTCTTGTCAATGCCAAATAGCTGTATCAAAGTGTCTTTCGAACACTTTGCCGAGGGCCAGTTCGGCTGAACATCGCGTCTTTCCGCAGAACCGCGCCGATAGGCCGAACACATGGGGGCTTTGCAATCAGCTGCTAAGTGCCGCATCTGAGCAGCCTCTGCCACTGACTTGCTCACTTGCACTCGCATGTGCAGGCATTCATGCAAGAAATGTGGGTCAACCTTGAAGCTAAAGTCACCATACCTCCGGCCGCATGTCCATACAGAAATTTGGACGCCATCAGCAACCAATCGAGCTGTTGAGGATGGCAAGCCATCATCAAACTTGCCCCTAGTTTCGCTTGCCTCAGCTGCCTTGTCTTCGCCAGAATATCCCAACAAGAAGCAGCGGGTGGGCAGGATTGCTTCATAATTCGCCAATTCAAGAATTTCTTGGGCCTCATCATAGTAAAGCGTTCCCGAGATGTACCTGGTTTCCCCTCAGTTTCCGCAGAAAACCTATGGATGAGAGCAGCTATCCAGCACTCCTTTCCAGTAACACGACCGTAAGACCACCAAACATGCTCTTCAGCACAACGCCACGCCAAGGAGTTTTCCTTTCCAGTCTTCTCTATCTGATCAACCCAGTTTTGGACAAACTCGTCCACGGCTTGCTTCCTTGGCCAGTGTTGATTGTAGCTCCGTGTGAGTTGAAGGCTCACCTCGTAGCTGGCTTCAGCATGAGTTTCATGACGCCCAAGCTGATTTGCCTTTGGCCGCTGCAAGTAGCAACTTGCAGGCATCCTCCGACTTATAGAAGGGAGAGGTGTCCGGATCAAAGCGCGTGCGTTGACTTTGGATTGGCAGACTTCTCTGCTGCGGCATTGCGTAATGGCATGCGAGACTTTGGGGACTGTATTGGTGACCCATACGAAATAGAAACGTAATAACAGAAACTAAAACTGGGAGATCAACAAAAAAACGTAATCAAAAACAACAAATCCACTTGCCAAATGTGGACAGTCACAAGGATCGTGGGGGGGGGGGGCACGATCCTCGTAACTTCGCTTTTGACCCGCGGATGGATCCTGTTACAGTTCAAAAGTGTCAACAGTCACGGGGATCGTGGGGATCGGGGTCGCGATCCTCGTAACACTCGTCGCTTTCGGACCCTTGGATCTTCTTGGAGTTTGGAAAGCGTCAGCAGTCACAGGGGTCGTCGTCAGCCCCCCATTGGCAAACAATATGATCCGCACAACCTTCCCTGACTGCAAACGTGGTGATGACTTGATCCTTCTTTTTAATAGCAAGCACGGATTGCCTCACAAAAGCAGCGTTGGGGTGGGGCGCAACCCCCCGCATTTGCACAGAAAATGATCTGCATAAGCTTCCCTTACTGCAAACAGTGGACATGCACATTTGCTAGCAATGCTTCCCCCCCCCGGTTTACATTGCTAGGAGTAGGGCCTTGTCAGCCAACATCTCCGTTTAGGGCTTCGGGCTTGAGATCCAACGTCTCTTGTCAAGGCTCAGGGTTTGCCAGCCAATTTTTTTCTGTTGAGCCCAGGTTTTGTTGTTGCTCTTGCTTCTTTCTTTCTTGTTTGGTTTCCTGGCTACTTTCTTGCTTGTCTCATCCTTTCGGCGAGGGTCCAAGAGCGACGGCAGTTATGAGGATCGCGATCCCGGCCCCCAGGATCCCTGTCCAAGGGCACACAAACGACGATACGAGGATCGCAACCCCGACCCCCACGATCCCTGTGACTGTCCACCATTGGCTAATGGAGGATTTTTTGTTTTTGATTATGCTGTAACTTCTTGGTGCTATCTATCGATCATAATTTAATCATTTGTTCATCATGAAGTTTCTTGATAGGCATCCCGGACTGTATAAGTCTGTAGGGGAGAAGGCTGTATCTTCTTCGACATGGCAGCACAATGTGCACAGGGTGCTTAAGCACAACGTAGCAGAACGATTTCTCAACCGTGTGTCCAACTTCAAATTGAACATGAAAACGACGAAGGGAGAAGTGGTTTCTGCCAACAGGTTGCTAACCCAGCCATGTGGTCTCCACAGCTAGCTGGCTGTAGCATGATGAGACACCATTCCATCCTTTGTTGTTCATTGTCGTTGTAACAACTTGGAGGGTGCCTTGCTTCCGGAGGAAGCCAATGAGGAAGCAACATTCTTGAAGTTGATACGCAATGTAGGAACTGCAAAGCTGTTTCATGATATGATAGACCTCATATCGCACTTCTATCACATTTTACCTACATGGCATGTTGACGCACGCGCATATGAAAGCGGTGCGTTGAAGCCAGACTGTCCAACCGCTTATCAGGAGCAAAGCATGATGCAAAACGACAGCCGTCACGGCAAGCAGAACTGACAATAGCTGTGTCTCAAGGAGTGCTCCTTTCAAAGTGATTTCAGCACGCACTGCAAGGGTGCTTCACCATGCGGTCCATTGGTAGCATTCTGTCGCTGGTACAATCATGCACCATGAGCCAAGGCCAAGCGTGAGCTCGAAAGAGCCTGCTCTGTGCTTGAACTTTCTATACACTCAAAGGTGAATGTGCTTTCACACTCTTTGAATATATAAAGCAAGAAGACTCACTGACAACACGGTTCAATTCCTGACAAACTCCACTGAAGGTCGACAATGGGGGCGATACTCTCTCCGTCCTTGCGAAAGTGGTTCCTCTTGACTCTGATGTTCAACAGCCAACTCCGACTGCTCTTGCTATCGCAACGACCTGTTCCTTTGACTGGGGTTTAAACAAATATCAGCCAGCAGCAAATGGCATGGTCAAAACAAGTCGCACAAGACCCCGCTTTTCGCTCATCTGGCAACCGGAAGCACGTACATTCAAGAGGCCTGACAACACCCCTCCTGCCTGCAAGGCCTCTCCCTGCTTCCATCAACAACAAGAATACCGCAACAACTTTCTGTCATGTGCGCAAACCATCTGTTCCACTTTTTGTGTATGTGTGAGCTTGCTCTGGGGCTCAATATGCCGCAACACAATCTCAATGCCGGAGGCACCAGCTGTGTTACTTGGGCTATGCTGTCGTAAGGCCCACATGTACATCAAAGGGTAGGCGACCCTGATTTCTGCGCATGCCCCTACAAGATGCAGAGGTCCTGATCAGGCCTGGATGGCTCCAGCATAGTATAAGTATAAAGTGCTACCTCGTCTGCCAGCTCAGTCCGCTTTGCAAAAGCCTCACGTCCAGGAAGGAGGAATGGCTTCTGTAAGATGCTGCATCAAGTCACACTGCTACCACCACCCAGGCACTTGAACAATCACCAATACATGAAATCTGGGCTAGACATCGTACAAACTCGCTTCTGTTTCGCGAAAGGGCTTTAATCTAATTATGCATGATTTTGTTTTTTATTTATGGCTCCTATGGGTACCTGTAGCCCAGCTCACGATCTCTGTTTGTCACAATAATGTCAAGCAACACCTAGCGCACTGTATGAAGCTGACGAGTCCAACCAGTATGCTCCCAACGCTGGCTTCTCAGCAGATGGCTCGTGTTGAGTGTCAGCTTTAGCAGCAGTATGGCATGTTGCCTGTGACTTGGGTACCAACTTACATGTTTTCTCAGCTCCTCCCAAGCGCAATTAAAGATCTTCTGAATGTCGTAGTTATGATGCAAATTCCGCGCAAAAGCTGGGAGGATCTTGAGACGCCTAAGAGGTTCGAGAACAGCTGCCTGCCGAAATGAACCGCCAGTTCAGGCCTACACTGCCCTGAACAGCACGAAGCCAGTTCTTGGCAACAGTATGTCCTACTGAGCCAATGCAATCAGAGTCCTAACGCTGTGAAAGGCAAACCGCTAGTTGGACGAGTGCAACCGATAGCAGTCGCCACACTCCGTCTCTTCAAGAACATCCCGTTGATGTTTGGCACTTGCACGCGCTGGCGTAGCTGGGCATGATTCGATTACACCACATTGCCGCTACTAGTGGTACTCAGCTGGCTAGAAGCCCGTTACAGATGCCTAGTGTGCAGGTGAGTATTCTCCGGGTGCCTTTCACACCACTCCTGTAAGGTATGGGGGTCTCTTTGTGGAAGCACTATGGAATCTACCCTCCTGTAAACCCCTCACCCGTAATGGGCTCCAGCTAATACGTACACAGATCAGCGGTCCACCTTGTGCCTTTCACTTGGGCTCGTGCTGTTTTGTGTCGTCTGCTACTACTTTGTTGACGGAATACAGGGAAGCATATGGAAGCATGGCATTTTTGGGCTCCTCCCTCGCCCATGAGTCAGGCAGGCACCCTGAGGCTTTCCTCACCCTACCTGTATACCACCTTTCCCAACTTTCGGCAAAGTGACAGCCAGCTGCCTATGCGATTGCTATTGTTCTTGATAGCTATATGACGGTAGGAATGGGAACTCTAAAATCTAAGCCTTGACTTCACGAGGCCGCCTCAGCCCCAAAATCCGGTCTGTGGGATGCCCGGGATCGCCAACGCCTGCGCATGTCAAGTCCTACGCGCCTCTGATGATCATGGGGCTCATGTGCAAACTGCAACGACAAATCCTGGGCTGCAATCTTAAGGTCATGCCCCATACCGTGCCTTTCCGTAAAGCGTGATCCCCCAATCCCAAGTAAGATCAGAGCTACCAGTGTATCTTTGGTTAGGCATGAATTTGGCCATTCACAGTTAGCAGGTCCAACCCTATACCTCTGACCAAGGGTCGCCAATCTATGCCAGGCCACTTTCCTTGCATGTGATAAGAGGACCTGATATTCCACGGAGGGCAGCAAAAGACTCTTGAGCAACTCAGCTTGAATACTCGATGCTACTAAGACTGAAGCTTCTCATGCACGCCCCAGACCCTCATGAGTCACCAAGCCGAATGTGGCGGACTGTCACTACTGCCACTGCTTCTCTTTTAATGTTGGACCTCCTTTGTTGAAAGGGTCGCCCATAATGAGTTCGGGGGCCTGCCTATTCAGGATCAGGACAATGATTGCAAGGCCTCTTATTTTGGGGCCCTAAAGATATGAAGAATTCTCGGCAATCTCTTGTAAATCAATCTACAGGGACCTGAGAACCGTGGGAGCTCAGGGGCAATATTGAGGATCCCTAATTTCCATTTTTTGGAGGGCCCTAATGCTAGGGGGGGGCCCTACTTATTAAAGAGGGTCACGACTCCTTCTCTTGCTGCTGGTCTTGCTCCTACGCCCCTACAGCAGCGTAGTACATCTGCGCAGCGCCTGAAGATGTGCGGGGTACGAGAAGGCCTGCAAGCCGAGAATTATACTCAAATGCTTCGGATCATGGTTCCCGCGTAGAGTACATCACGCAGGTTCTTGCCTCTTCGGGATGCTCATACGGCTTCACGGGAGCAATGTAAAGCTAGATGGGATATGTGTGTTTTACAGGGAAGGCTGCCCTTTCTTGAGAGCCCTTTCCGCTCAAGGTCTTTCGTAGAGGGCAAGGGTTGGGGCGCGCAGGCTTGGGGGGTTGAGCCGAAGGGCCTTGCATGGCACCTTCTTATAGGGGGCCCAGGGCTAAAGTTAAAGCCTTCTTTGTCTGAATGGAGCAATCAACTACACATCAGCCGAAGGATGGAATGCGGGAGAAAATGGAAACGGGATATGTGCGAAGTACCCATGTCCCCATGCTGCGGGGGTGCTGAAGAAGCTGGCTTCAGGCATTGTGAGATCATAGGCTTTTCTAGTGTGGTCCGATCTCCATACACCTTAGGGTACACTGCTGTGCCGGATTAGCTTGGCAGCCTGCGCTGTGGGCGGCACGTTCACCGGCAGAGCATTGGTCACTGCCTGAACCAGAGCTCAAGAAAAGTAAAAAAAACAGTGTTGCAAGCATGGGACCGAGATTTGTCGGCGCGTCCACAAGTCGGCAGCACAGCTGAATTACGCAGGCTTTGGAGAGCCCAAACACATAGTCACGTTTCACTCCGTACAATATAGAGACTTCCTAGATACTTCTCAACCCACTATTATCCCACGCCGTGGATGCAGGCCTTCCCTTTTCCTTGGCCCTTGCCAATCCGAGGAGGGATGTTCTTTTGCTTCGGCGGCTCATTGAACTTGCCTAGGGTGGCGTTCAGAGAGAGTCCTCGACATTCTGTGCCAGTTGTTGAAGGTTGCTGTAGCAGAGATCTACTGGGACCTTTCAAGGGATTCTTTACAATTTTCAAAGGCATGAGGCGGGACTAGAAAAGGCCATGACGCAAGCAACTTTGCCTGATGTCATTTCCTGGTGTACCCCAGGCATCACAAAGAGCTGGTTCGGTAAATTTGGGCTCCATTTCCACCCAAAATTAAATTTCTATTGCAGAGACCCCCCGTTCAAAGGACCGCAAAATTTGAGAAACTCCCGTCGTCTCGTTCTGATACACTTCCCAATCCAGGAACCGAAGATATGTGCCAGGAGGATGCCAGGAGCTTAGCCACCAAACAATATCCGACCCTCTGGATGGGACCCCCCGCACCTTTGAAGGACAAAATTGCGCCAACTTCGCGCACGTGCTGTGGAGTTCTCAACGATTTCATGACCCCAAATTGCCAGAGCTCTGCGCAAAACTAGGGCAACACACGCTCTCAGAATGATCTAATTCCTCAGATGCCCGAAGCTGCCCTTCCTGCAGCCAACATATTGGCATCCGGCTTCATTTTCATGACAACTATTGTTGTTACGACTATGCTTGCCATGCTCGCTCTTATTGCTACTGGCTTCACCTGAAATACCCAGGCTCATGCACCTCCAATGCTCTTTTGAAGGGGCTTTCTAAGAGGGGACTCCCCCACCCACCCCCCAATTCTTGGAAACCCCGCTGCTACCTCTGAGGCCCATGTATTATCAGTACTACTGGTACTAGTTCTAGCTCAAGCTGCCCAGCCGATCAGGAAGGCATCGTAGAATGCCTAGCATTATGCAGTTTCAAACCCTAACTAAAACCAAAACCCATCTCTGATTGCTCAGCTCATCATTGCTGCAGCGGCTTTTGTGACTGCTGATTTTTCTTCATTTTGGAAACTCCAACTTCTGCTAACAGTAAGCCCTCCTCTCACAGAAGCAAAAACCCTACAAAACCTAGAGAAACCAGGGCCCCGGCTCATGAGGAATGGATCGTTCTTGATGGCGGCCAGGGCAACGCCAGCTGTGCTCTGCTCTGCTTCAGTTTTTTTTCGCTGCACCTGAAGACAGTCACCGACTAAGTACCATTGATTTAGGGTTAAGAGACGGTGGGCTCAAATGTCAGGAATCATAGTGAATGCACATATACGAAATATACGATAATATCTCACTTACTTCTGAAAAGGATTGAGAGGGATTGGGAAAGCAAATGGCAGCTACTACATCATCTAGGTCTAAAATTGGGTCAATACTAAGCGTCCATAATGGAAACTGAAATGGAAAAGAGCATGCAAAATGACATGGACACTGGGCTTCATAAGGGCCATACAATGACACACACACACACACATCTCTCTCTATATATGTGTACAAGAGTGTACATTTGCATGTCTGGGTTGCTGCTAAGGAACTTAAATCAAGTTACCATACCAAGGCAACCCCATCATGTACTACAGTATGTATCCATACCCTGGTGACTTGGTTCAGATTCCATAACACAACCCAGAAAACAGCTACCGTTCCAGGTAGCCAGCAGCCTACAGGGTTTGGGGTCTGTGCTTCTGGGCCTCTACCACAAGACTGAAGAAGCTAACATGCAGCGTGTACCCGGACCATCCTTGTCCTATTTGAACTGGCTAGTCTGGGACGCACAACGCCCTCCCCCCTCTCAATCCATCTTCTCTTCCCTGCCCAGGTGCACCCGCCAAGAAAACAAAGGTTTCACATTTCTGGCTGAGAAGAGATGATTGTTGGAATTTTGCTGTCCGTTCTGAGGCAAACTTGAGCTGGCCACTTCGCCTTTCAGGAGACATACCGCAATTGAGAATAACTTCTGTTTTCCAAGTGTGCGAAGCAGAAACCACAACCATCTGATCTAGCCTCGTCAATCCAAGCACAGTGAGATACTAGAAGGTACCTCAATATGCCAGTCTAGTGATGCCAGCTTGTACTGCTATCAGGTCGCAAGCCCCTGCATGCTCTCAATGCTTTCAACTCAAAGTATAAGGCCCAGTGCCAAATCTTTTGCTGAAGCTGTACGGCTGAAACCTAGCAAGCGCTCTTCAGCGACTCAACCAAGAGAGCTTTTCCAAGACTGTCATCCTTTTCACAAATCTGCTACATATCCGCTTTGCCAGCCTTGTAACTGTCACCTTTTTTTCGACTGCAAAGGTGTTGTACCTGTTACCGCCGTCGTTAGGAACTAGTAACACGTTGGATTAGGAGGGGGGAACCTCACAAACCAGCAAGCCAAAATCAGATTTAATTGTCACAAAGCAGAACCCCAAAGGAGCACAGGTGACAGCACTCCACAGGGCCAGGGTGGAGGGGGGCAACAAAAGCAACTGATCCCAGAAACGAGGGATGCATGCATGCTCACAACCATCGAGTGCCCGCCTACAAGCGAAGCCCTAAACCTTAAACCGCTAAACCCGACGCCAATGTCCTGCGCCGATCTCCACAAGCCCGCACCTGTCCGACGAACTGCCGGGAGCCCCAAACACCGGGAAGACATTGCAACCTGTGCGCGCTTGACCGTTTGGGGTTTAAACGGGGGCTGTAGGGTGGGCTGAAGGAATAGATAGAAAATGGGGAGGGGATGTGTAAGGATATTTACGATTTAGGTAGGCCCCAGGCCTTGTTTTGTGGTTGTTTGTTATAAGCACAAAGAAGTGGAAACCCTGAAAAAAGAAAAGGTCAAGGTGGGAGTCTCTCTGCATTGGACCCGATGGCTTTCATTTTGGGAGATGTCCAAATGAAACTGACCTGGAATTCCGTGTACGATCAGCACGCCCAAACAAACTGGGGCCCAACGCTACTGGCTGAGCACTGGCTGGAAAAAGCCACATGACCCTATGTATATCACTGACAACCAGGGTGGAGATTCCAGTGGTCGTAATCGCGTGATCGCAATGTTCTGAAGTTGAGGGCCGTATGAAGGACAGCATGATTGATACTTCACCGCATGGCTGCCACGATGGCGAACTAACAACCATGGTGACATGTGGCATCAAGCACTTTGGATGTTCTGCAACGCAGTGGCACAAGACGAGCCTCAATACAGCCTGGAATCCATCGTCTCCCTCCACCTGATGCGTTTCGAAGTGGATGTCCTGCATTGCTCAGCAAGTTGGGTGCATGGGCTTAGCTGCGCCAGCCCCCATGCTCAAGATGCAAACCCTTATGACTGCTGCCAAAGGCGCTGATTTTTCCATGATCTTCCTGCCAGGGCACACAGGAGTTCTGGAATTCAAGCGGAATTATTTTTGACCACCTTGCACGACGAAGAACCTCTGCATGTACCAATGCGTCTACCGGCTGCAAAACGTTGGTCACAGCCTCTAAACGGGGGGCCTTGCAATCCTGGCGCAATGTGTTGCGAGGTCCATCTTGTTGTTCGGCGCAATGTTGGCCGACTGCTGTGGAACCAAACCAGGCATGCCAATCCTGAGCACGCCAATAGCCAATGTGCTTCGGTCCAACTGACCTACTGCCACAGCCAGCGTTTGCCCTTGAATCTGGTGAGCGGGGATCACTTCGTGCAGAACTGGCGACGAAACAAACCCAACAAGAAATCTACCTTGGGCCGAGCTGCACACCAGGCTCCAACTTCACTTTTTTCCCTGGCGGACCAACAGGGATGGGCGGCCCAACCGCTTTCCGCTTGTTGGCCTGGCGATGCATCCCGAAAATTTCTCTAGCATCTAAGTGCGCCCATAAGCTGATGACAAAGGTGGCCCAAAGCATTCGCAAGCGCCACAGCGACTCCCACGCGGTCCAGGCCCAAGCGCTTTGCTTCTTCCTGTGGGTCGAGATGGCTGTTGCAGCTGCAAATTCGCCACATGTGCACATGAAGCAACGCGAGCGAGCACCTTGTACACAAGCATGGCTTGGGTTGCTGCTGCTTCTTCGGCCTGCGAGCTTCAACTTGAAGCAACATCTGCCAGCAAGTCTCTCGAAGGCGCGCAAAATTAAAGCCATTCTGCTTCCATCATAACAACACAACATGTCAGCACGGTCGCTAGCTACTGTGCGCTATCTACTGCCTTGCTCTTGTCTGGGCGCAGCTCGCCAGCAAACTCTTGCCCATCAAGACAGTTCATTTTGACCTGATGCACGCCATATGACATGCATTGATTACGAAGTTGGATCAACAAGATGGAATGGTGCACTTTCGCGCCCAAGCTCCGCACAATGGATTGAAATCCCTGGGGATACTTGTCGGTCATGTAGTAAATGTCCTAGTCAGTCAGATCATAGGTGACTGCTTGAAGCACGCAGTAAGCTTCTGCGGGTTTCTACCCTCAGCGGGCATTCTGTGCACAGTACTGTAAAAGGGATGTTTGCCAAGTCGCTGTAAACGTCACGTTGCGGCCAAGCTTGTGTTTGCAAAAAGCCTCCAACCTGGGCTGCCGAACCAACTTGACTGCAGTGGTTTGCTACCGCAGGCCTGAAGTTCCAACTCCTCGGGTAATTTATTATACTGGGTGACAACCGCACCACTAGACAGTTGCCCGCAAATATGCTTGCCTTCAAGTGCGCAATGCAGGAATAATCCGAGAAAGGTGCTGCTGCTTCGAGCCCAGCTGGAAGAAATCCTGCAAGTACACTTTTGGCTCATGCTGCCACATGTCAGTGTCGATGAGTTACGTCGACAATGGCTGGGTTTGATGATCATGCTTGTACAATCTTGTACAGGCGGTCATACACCGGAAGCATTTCCGATTTGTTTTGTTCGGAGTCAGTTGTCCGAAAACCAATCAGCAGTTGTCCCTTCGAGATCACTAAGACAACGCTGCCGACAGTAGTACTTCATACACCCCCGGCTCAGACATAGGCCTCATGGCTCCGACACCTGGCACATGTAACGTGAACGCCTGAATGATTCTTAGAAATATAGTCTGTTGTGCCCCAAAGTCCCTAGAATTTCGGGAGGCCTCTACATTCCAACTGGGCCCTTGTCAGCCCAAGGCCTGGCTCAAAGGCTCGCGCTGCGTCGCGGGTCCCAGGATCCGCTCGGCATTTTCTATTCGGCCAACAGGGAGAGCCATGCCGTCTGCTGGCCGGCTGCCCGGACTAAACACCAAAGTTTTTGAGAGATCAGTAGTTGCATGTTCCTGCCAGTTTTGTGAATTGGCATGGCTGCAGCACGTGGCATCTAGGCAGTGATGCACCATGAACACCCTTGAGCCGCGCCACTACTGCAATCGAAGCAAACATGCAACAACGAGCAAGACCTTGAGGAACAAGAATCGCCTTCGAAATGCTCAGTGCGTTCGTGCAAACCTGCTCCAGCTGCTGTTGAACGGATTATCCGGTACTTCTCCGGGAGGAGATGCAAAATTACTCTGTTCAGACCTGGACACTCCAAACCCTGGGGATACATTGGAGATGCTCTGGGGTCGGCACTGCAAGGATGATTTGGGATAGTCTGGGTGTAAGGGGAGACTCCCACCCAAAGTTACGCCGTATCCTTCACCACATTTTCCTTCCCTCGTCTTTCAAAGAAAGCATTCTGCAGCCCTGATGCATCCTGTTAACACAAGGCCTCCCATGTATTCTACCGACGGTGCCCCATGTCCAACGCCTGAAGAAGCTGGGCCTAGAGCTTGTCATCAAAACATGGACCGTCTGCCTCAAGCTTCATTCCAACCTTACCACCGCCGGGAACCTCAACGCTCTAAAGCTGTGGCAACATATATTGGCTAAAACTACCCAGTGAAGATGTGGGTGGCAAAGCTCCCTGCTCCTGATTTCGCGCTTGCCTTTTGTACCCAACATACACATTCCGCAGCTCGAAACCCGGAGAATGCTGACAGTGCTTCTTCAGCTCAAAAGGACTGCGACCACAGCAAGGATGGCTGCAAGCCAGGACTCTGCGTGGAAGGCCGCACCTGGGCTAGACAACGCAGTGACCACGCAGCTTGCACCTGCAAAGTTTTGCATAACAACCTCAAAGTTCGACGCCTGAGCCCAACATCTCCTGTGCAATTGGAAGCCCCGAGTTCCGACTTCAAGACATTGTGGACAACCGCGATGGTTGCACTAGACTTTGCTAGGGACTTGCAATGATCCTTTTTGCTTGCTCTGCTGCAGCAGGTGTCATTTCATCTGACAGGACCGGAGCTTCGAGATAAAGACCTCATGACGAGGGCCCACATTGACAGAAGGCAGGCCTTTCAAGCCATGGGGGCGAGTGCACCTCGAAATGCCTCAGTCAAGGCCTGCTTCGTTGCTGCGGGATGCTGCGGGGTTGGGGGAAAATGATTACATTTCTTGACATTTTCTCGTTGGCCACGGCAATCTACTGCTCAAAGCTCCCACCCTACATCCGTGTCGAAGGGGGGGGGTCCCAAACTGCCAGTCTTTTCGCCAGGAACTTCTAGCTTAGCTTTGGTCAACCCACGCCGTGAAACTTAAAGGACCGACCCCTGGTTACTCAATGCTGCTTTGTTGCTGCGTTCGCTTCCACCTGCCGAATGCGTCCTCGAGGCCTTAGCAAGAAACAGAAAGTCTTGTGTCAGTGTTGTCATGGTCGGAATATGCGTCTTCTTTTGGAACAGTATTGGGGTTGATGATGTCTCTGAGCTGGGAACAGTGGAGTGTCAAACCTTTTCGCATGTTTGCAAGCCTCTGAATTTGAGCTCGTCCATCGTTTGAATTATCTCAGGTACCTCCAGTAGCTCCACATTGGTGTGTCCAAGCCCGCAGCTGAAGGCTTGCGATGGCGAAGAGCTGACTCCTCCTCCACAGAGTAGGCTTACTCCGAGGCTTACTCGTGGATTGGCCACAATCTCCTCCTAAGATAACCTTCCATGTCCGTTGCAATTTATTGGCTGCTGATCTGAATACGCACAACCGTGCTGACAAAACTGGTGCGATGGTAAGAGCGATCATTCCCCGCCACAGTACACTGTGCGCACTGCAGAGCGGTATCACACGGGTGAAATTGTGGGAGCGGCAGGCCTGAAGGCACACCAAAATCATTCAGCCAAGCCTATACATACTTTGGGCAACCTCCACCCTTTGCGCAAATGCACACGCTGAAATATGTAGCCCGTGCTGTATCAAGCACGCATGCTCAAAGTTCAGTTTAGTTGTCCATAGTCATCCACACCTGACGGCCTGAAGGGAGACACCAGCTTCATTCCAGAAGACCCCTGCGCTAAGTCAATGATGGCTAGACCGCTTCCACGCTCTAAGACAGGCCGAGCTTTGCGTGCATCTACTGAGATGCTTCTTATTTTGTTTGAAAGCATGGGCTAGACGCAGAAACTCGTAAACGCGCCTGTATGGCCGACGTCTGCCTCCCGAGGATACTCAGACATGGTTTCATACAGCCAAATATACAGCCAAATAGAGGAGATTTGATGTAATGTTTTGGAGGGATGTCGTAGAGTTGTGTCCGGTCTGAGGGTCTGATCATCAGGAAAGAGTTCGTACTCCGAACTACCTGATCGCAACACATAGCAATGTCGGCACAGGGGACATTGTGAGCAATCCGGGGGTTAGAGTGATGCCCCGAGATCCGTCGAGAAAAATCTGAAATCATGAGTCTTCAATGATCACGTACGAAGCGGACTCCGAGGCGACAAGATCCTATAGGCCCTGGCCACACGCGCACTTCCTCGCAAAACAACGCAAGAGGCACCGAATACTGTTCTTGAAAGCGTGCCGAGTCTGTCTTCTAGCAGAAACCAGATCGCATTTCCGTTGCTGTTCCCGTTGCTGCGGCTACTCCACTTATCGTGCCAGTCTGTTGGGGACGTGCCTGGGCCAGTGCTGGATCAGCGCTAGCTCCTGGGACGTTGCAGAGGGACCTCGTCATGTCCAGGCTCAGCCGCAAAGCTGAAATCGACACAGGTAGGGGATTTTTGCCCAAGACGGCACTGACCATGCTCAGCGCAAAAGGCTTTTCATCTAACGCAACACAGCAACCATGGAACCTGCATCAAACCTGACAACACGCAGACCTTCAAGCCTGCCTGCATGCAACCTGTGCCTCAGAGGAATTCAATGCCATTCTGCACTGTGAGTCTCCATTCCGAAGCCCCCAAGTAACATGTGTATGTCCTTCAAAGAGGAACCTCCAGATTGCTGGTTTTGTCTTGAGAAACTCTAGTACCACAGCATGGCCAAAGCAGGTCCAACTAGTACTCAGCAAGCACTCTGCAAAATGCTCGAGTTGTCATGATCTGACCTACAAGCTACGCATGTGATACGTGCGCAACACTGACTCCCGGAGGTCTCCATCGATTGCGGCTGTCTTTTGGCCTGCATTCTCGGGATAGAGACCCAGCTATTCTGGAACTCTATGCCGATTGATAAACCTGACCATCTGTTCTAGAGGTGCTCTGGCGCAAAATAACTAGGATGGTTTATCAAAGTTCAAAAATGCTGTCTCTCATGCCGCCTCGTAGGGAACTTTCTTGATCTGTAGATGAAATATCTGCAAAATTATGCTCACCTTCAAAGAACTCCGGTCTTTCCCTCTAAGTCCCTTGGAAAGGTGGGCCAGGTGGGCCCTGAGAGCACAGGTGCTTGATGTGCTTGCATCTTCCTCTGGGGAGCCTGCCTGGTGGGCCCTGCTCCTCCCGCGCCTTCACCAAAACTGGAAATGTGAATTACGCACTGGTTGTATGGGGGATCATGATACCTGTTGACCCTACATCAAACTTGAATAATATGGGAAGCCTCGGCTAATCGAGGCTAGTTTGGGGAAACCACAACCGCGAATCACAAAAACTTGCTGATTGTGGTTCGGGCTTCTATGCCTATTTGTTCGGCCGGCGGATTAGCAAGCAGAGTTTCCTGCAAGGTCAACGACTTCACTTGCAACTATCAGTATAAAGCCTCAGACATCTGTAGCGATAATGAGCCTGTAGCCGTAAATGACCAACCAGACTGGGGCAATGTTGACATCGCCCCCACAACATGTCCAAACTAGAAATATTGTCGTAAGAAGACTCGGAAGAAGACTTTCCGAATCACCAGCGTATCGTTGCGCAGCGTGTTTCTATTCTTGAGACTTTGTCGTTGTGTGAGCCGGCTTGACAAAATGCCTTGAACCAAGAAAGTTTTGCCCCCCTTGCTCACACGCAAGACTTCCGATCGAGGGTTGAAAGCCTTGGGGAGGTGGTGAATCATTCAAGGATACTTGGGGGATTTGGTTATTTATTAGGGATATACCGGGACAATCGAAAATAACATGGAAACTGCTGTAATAAAG